GTGTGAAGCAACTTGCTGCCAGATTGCAGTCAATGAGTGTTGAGATTGACGATAAAGAAATTGCAATGGCTGTGTTGAATGGCTTGCCTCCACGATTCGATAACTTGATTGTTGCACTTGACGCACTTGGCAATGAGGATAAAGTGTTTGGACTCGATTTTGTGAAGAGTCGTCTGCTGCAAGAGGAACAACGAGAGAGCATGAAGACCGCTTCTACTACTTCACCCCACGCACCTGCACTTGTCAATCGCATGCCTATTCGACGTGATATGAGATGTACGAACTGTAATCGACATGGACACACCGCAGCACGTTGCTGGGGCAAAGATGTGAATGGGCGCCGACCAGCACCGCCAGACGGGTTCCGGTCCCGCAACCCCGGCATGAAGCCAAGTGCATTCGTATCTCGAGATGAAACTTCTACTGCTGCCTTTGCTGAAAGCGACTTTACATGCCTGCTTTCGACTTCTTCCCCCGAAAAGAAGGCAGTGAACGCAGGGTCATGGCTTGTGGATTCCGGTTGCAGTGCCCACATTACATTTGATCGCTCTTTGTTCGTTACTTATGAACAGATGCAATCTGGAGCAGTCGAGATGGGCACGAAGGCTAGAGCCAATGTCGCTGGTCGTGGTGAGGTAGAATTCATGTTGAACGTCAATGGTAGTCCACATCCTTGCAAATTGTCCAACGTTTTGCATGTCCCTGATTTCGGATACTCGCTTCTGTCTGTTAGCCAAATGGTTTCAAAGGGTTTGCAAGTGTCATTTGAAAAAGACAAATGCATCGTTACTGCAGGACCAACTGTAGTTGCCACAGCTAGTCAAGTTGGGGATTTATTCATACTTGATGTCATGAATGAAACTTTCTCTGCTCATGTAGTTACCTTGCAGACGCTACATGAACGAATGGCCCATGTTAACGTACAAGGAATCGCATCAATGATTCACAATAATGTGGTAAGTGGCATCAATGTTCGTCAAAGCGATGTGATCAGAGCAATGAATCGAAAGTCTGACAATCACTCTCTCGTTTGTCCTGGGTGTGTGTTCGGCAAAGCAACGCGATCAGTAATCCCAAAACAGCGATCATCGTCTCGAGCACAGAACTGTCTTGACTTGGTACATTCTGACGTTTGCGGTCCGCTCGAAGTACAGTCCATTGGTGGTTCGAGATACTTCATTACATTTGTAGATGATCACTCGAACTGGGTTGTTGTGTACACGATGAGATATAAATCTGAGGCCTTTGCAAAATACAAGTTGTATGAACAGTTTGCCCAAACGCACACTGGTCGCAAAGTGAAGGTGCTTCGCACTGATCGAGGGGGAGAGTACTTGTCGACAGAATTCAAGTCATATTTGGATTCAAACGGTACACAGCACCAGCTCACCACTGCCTACACACCTGAACAAAACGGTGTTGCTGAACGTTTAAATCGAACCTTGATTGATCTTGTCCGTTCCATGCTTTCTCATAAACAGGTCAGTAAACGATTCTGGGCAGAGGCTCTTGCCACTGCAGTATATGTACGCAATCGAGTTACTTCACGGGCTTTGCCAGTTAACACGACTCCCCATCACATTTGGATGAAGTCAACTCCAAATGTTGGCCATTTGAGAGTATTTGGGTCAAAGTGTTGGTATACATTACCGAAATTAGAGCTCCGTAAGCTTGACTTGCGAGCGCGTGAAGCGATGTTTCTCGGTTATTCGCAATGCAGTAAAGCATACAAACTTTGGGACGGAGAGTTGAGTAAAGTTGTTGTTTCACGAGATGCCAAGTTTGATGAATCGACATGTGGGATGCATGACATTCCTGCACATGAAAAAGATTCAATCAGCTCTGACGTTGGCGTTGTATTGCTCGGTGGCGACAATGAGAATGAAGCCGATACCCCAAATACTAATGAGGTTGGGTCGGAAGAGGATGAAATTTCAGGGGAGGTTATTGAAAACGAGGACACTCACTCTGTAGGTGAGAATGATGAAGATGATGTATCACCTCCCGTCCAAACTCCGAATGTCACCCCTCCCACTCCGACTCCAGCTGTACGAAGATCGTCTCGAATCAGTAGACCTCCCGGATCATGGTGGAGGAGCAACTTTGCAGCTGCTCCTCTTTCACATGCGCATGTCGCTATTGAAGGTCCCAAGACTTTCAAACAAGCAACCCACGGTCCTAGAGCTGCATTCTGGCAAACCGGCATTGACAAAGAACTTGCATCACAGACTAAGAATCAGACCTGGAAACTTGTTCCTCGATCTGAGGCGTCAAACATCTTGACATCTCGATGGGTTTTCAATGTCAAGCAGCTGCCTGATGCAAATGGCAATATAGTTGAAAGTGCAAAAGCCAGACTTGTTGCTCGTGGATTCCAGCAAGTGCAAGGTCTTGACTATACTGAGACATATGCCCCTGTCATAAAGTTTACGACTATTCGTCTACTTCTTGCCTTAGTTGCTCATTACGACCTTGAACTTCATCAGATGGATGTCGTGACTGCGTTTTTGAACGGCGACTTGGATGAAGATATCTACATGGAGCAACCCGAAGGCTGCGTTGACAAAAGCAAAAGTGATCATGTGTGTAAACTTTTGAAAGCACTTTACGGTCTTAAACAAGCACATCGTCAATGGCATACCAAAGTGGATGATTTCTTACTCGGTGAATTGGGATTTGAGACTTCACGTAGTGATCTGTGCCTCTACATTAAACGCATTGGTAACACTATCATGCTAATTGCACTTTATGTCGATGACTTGTTACTCGCTGGTAGTGATATCCATGCCATGAAATGGATGAAGGGGGAGCTTAACAAACGGTTTGAGATGAAAGACCTTAGTGAGGCAAAAGTCTGCATTGGTCTTGAGATTCAAAGAGATCGCACTATCAAGACATTGAGTCTCACTCAAACTAAGTATGCATTAAATGTGCTTGACCGTTTTAAAATGTCGACTTGTAACCCTTCTCTGACTCCAATGGAACAAGGTCGCAAAACCACGAATTCTATCGAAAACGACTCCGAAACAAAGGCACCGTATCGTGAGGCAGTCGGTTGCCTGATGAACTTGATGGTTGGCACTCGTCCAGACTTGGCATACGCCATTGGAAAGCTTTCCCAACATTCTGCCAACCCATGTGAATCACACTGGGCAGGTGTAAAACGAGTAATGCGATACGTGCAAGGGACTCGAAACTTAGGAATCGTGTTTGACAATAAATCCAAATCGCCGAATTTGCTCGGTTTCAGTGATGCTGACTGGGCCGGTTGTTCAGACTCTCGCAAGTCGACCAGCGGATATGTTTTCAAGTTCTGTGGTGGAGCTATCAGTTGGAGTTCCCGGAAACAGACTGTGGTTGCGACTTTGACGTGTGAAGCTGAGTACATTGCACTATGTGAAGCGTGTAAGGAGGCGACCTGGTTGCGTCAAGTTGTTGCTGATGTCCTCGGACTTGATTCTGATCCCACGATCATGATGGGGTGTGACAATGCAGGGACGATTTCGTTTGCACAGAATGAATCGATCAACCGTCGCAACAAACATGTTGATGTAAAATACCACTACGTACGAGATGCTATTAAGAGAAACATTGTGTATTTGTCGCATTGTCCGACCACTTCCATGCCTGCCGATATCTTAACCAAAGCACTTGGGCGAATTCTATTCCAGAAGTTTGTAGAACTTCTGGGGCTTGCAGTGTCCAGTAAAAGCATGTGATCGAGGGGGAGTGTTGGAAATCTTCGACCACATGCTAAGCTCCAAGCCTGACAGATATTACACGTGTACGTCGACGAAACCTAAAATGCTTGCAAGAGCATTCTCAGGATGTTTGGTCTTCAACGTGGACACGTGTCATATTTGTACACGGTTGCACGTTCCTATCATTTCCGAGCATGTTTCAATTTTGGTGTTGACACGTGTAAGTTATGTACCTCGTGGCACTTTACAGTACATTCTGAACATGTTTCATTTTTCTCGATTTGACATGTGTGTGACACGTATGACATTTGTCCTACACGTGTATGACACGTATGACGTATGTGCCACAGTGGTTATTAATCGTAGTGTAAAATCTGTAATCTACAGTACAGTTTATTCAGATATTATTGACTCTCAAACGGTCCCAAATTATTAGCAAGAAAGAGTACAAGTAGGAAAGTCATTTGATTATCAACCGAGAGTGGAAATAGGAGAGTCACTTGATTATCAACCGAGAGTGCAAGAAGGAGAGTCATTTGATTATCAACCGAGAGTGGAAGTAGGAGAGTCACTTGATTATCAGCCGAGAGTGCAACAGGGAGAGTCACTTGATTATCAACGAGTGCAAGAATGAGAGTCACGTGACCAGCCCTAATGGCTCGTATTGTATGTAGTTCGAAGAGTATAGGTAGCGCCAATAGTTGGCGACCAAGAGTAAAATGGTATCAACTTCTTTTCCCGTCAACCACCAGCAACCTTCAACCATCCTTCTTCCCTCTGCCGCGCTGACCTTTCTTTAGGTTGCTGGTCGTGGTGACGTTCACTTGAAGTTAAATGTAAATGGCCGCATCGAACCGTGCAAGTTGACGGATGTATTGCACGTTCCGGACTTTGCGTTCTCTCTGCTCTCTGTCAGTCGAATGACTGAACTTGGACTAAAAGTTGGGTTCGAAAATGGAAAATGCATGATCAGACGAGGCTCAACTGTAGTGGCGACTGCGACATTGGTTGGAGAACTTTACGTTCTCGACATCGTCAGTGACATCGGATCTGCACATGCCGCCACCCTGCAAACGTGGCATGAGAGCTTTGCACATGTGCATTCTCAAGGTATTGCTTCGATGATTCGTGACAATGTGGTAATTGGAGTCAAACTACTTGGTAATGAGGCTAACAAAATCAAAAATACTGACAATGATTGCATCCCTGGAAAATGTTCTGCGTGCGTCTACGGCAAAGCCACTCGATCTGTGATCCCAAAAGAGCGGTCCTCGAGGCGGGCATACTTCTGTCTAGACTTAGTTCACTCTGATGTTTGTGGCCCCTTAGAGGTGCAGTCCATTGGTGGTGCCAAGTACTTCATTACCTTCATAGATGATCACTCAAACTGGTCAGTAGTGTACCCTATGCACCATAAATCAGAAGCATTTGAACGATACAAAATGTTTGCACAACTTGCTCAGACTCACACTGGTCGCAAGATCAAAGTGCTTCGCACCGATCGAAGTGGTGAGTATCTGTCCACGGAGTTTAAGTCTTTTCTGATTGCAAATGGTACTCAGCATCAAATGACGACCGCGTACACACCGGAGCAAAATGGCGTCGCCGAACGACTGAACAGAACTTTGGTAAACTTGGTGCGCTCCATGCTAGCGCACAAGAAAGTTACAAAGGGGTTCTGGGCAGAAGCACTTGCCAATGCAGTGTACGTTCGAAATCGAGTCACGTCACGTGCCACTCCCCCCAAGATGACCCCCTACCACTTATGGATGAAATCTGTGCCAAATGTTGGTCATTTGCGTGTTTTCGGTTCAAAGTGTTGGTATACATTACCAAAACACAACATCCAGAAACTTGACGCCCGTGCAAAGGAGGCAATGTTTCTGGGGTATGCTGAAAATACGAAAGCTTACAAGTTGTGGGATGGTGATTTGCACAAAGTGATCGTATCCAGAGATGTTACTTTTGACGAGTCCACGGGAGGCAAATCTGGTGAACCGATGGATACAAACGAGGAGGCTACAACTGATGATGACACAATCAACTTGAACATCGATGAGGAAGTTGCAGAAAATGATGGAGTGGCATCAGAAGCATCATCGCCGGATGAACAACAAGACTCTGATGAATCCTCCAACTCCTCCCCAACTCCAGGGGAGGACGAAAATACCGAAACAGTTGAGCAACACGTAGTTGAGGAAGAAACTATTCATCCGCCAACTAATCTCCGTCGGTCCACTCGCGTTCGCAAAACGCCTGGGGCGTGGTGGGCAGCAGCTTTGGTGACTGCTGGACTCCTTAGCCACGCCCATGTGACAACGGAAATCCCAAACTCGTACAAGCAAGCTATGGATTCTCCAAAAGCTCGCTTCTGGCAGAAGGGCATCGACAAAGAACTTGCTTCACAACACAAAAACAAAACATGGACACTTGTTCCAAGATCTCAAGCATCAAACGTCCTGACGTCCAGGTGGGTTTTCGCAGTGAAGCAACTTCCTGACGAGTCCGGAAAATTGGTCGAAACTGCAAAGGGACGTCTTGTGGCACGAGGCTTTCAACAAGTAGAAGGCATCGATTACACTGAAACTTTCGCCCCTGTCATCAAGTTCACAACTATCCGTCTGCTGCTGGCACTGGTTGCGCACTTTGACCTTGAGCTGCATCAGATGGACGTGGTGACTGCCTTCCTCAACGGTGAACTTCACGAAGAAATCTACATGGAGCAACCTGAAGGATGCATCGACAAAGTCAAACCTGATTCGGTGTGTAAACTTTTGAAAGCAATCTATGGTCTTAAGCAAGCCCATCGCCAATGGCATAGTAAGATCGATGAGTTTCTGATCACTGAACTTGGTTTCAACACTACACGCAGCGACCCATGTCTTTACATTCGACGTCAAGGCAATGTCATCATGATTATCGCGTTGTACGTGGACGATCTGCTGCTAGCTGGAAGTGACTTGGAGGCCATATAAAGGATAAAAAATGAACTCAACAAACGATTCGATATGAAAGACCTTGGCGAAGCGAAGACTTGTCTTGGTCTAGAGATCGACCGTATACGTTCTAAACCCGTCCTGACCGTCACGCAGTCGAAGTATGCCCAAGCAGTACTGAAACGGTTCAAAATGTCGGCATGCAATCCTTGCCTTACTCCGATGGAACAGTCTCGACATGTCACAATGCAAGTGGCCGAAACTGGCACTGATGACAACCCATGCTTTGAACCATATCGTCAGGCCATTGGATGTCTAATGTTCCTAATGGTCGGGACCCGCCCCGATATTGCGTTTGCCATTGGAAAGTTATCTCAACACTGTGCCGACCCTCACGATTCGCATTGGACTGGTGTGAAACGTGTTTTGAGATACTTGCGTGGGTCCCAGCATCTTGGAATAGTGTTTGGTAAAGATGATCTTGGTACGGAACTTCATGGGTATAGCGACGCAGATTGGGGTGGATGCCTTGAATCACGAAAATCAACGAGTGGGTACGTGTTCAAGCTTTGTGATGGGCCTATCAGTTGGGCTTCCCGGAAACAAACAGTAGTTGCAAAGTCTACTTGTGAGGCAGAATACATCGCACTCAGTGAAGCATGCAAAGAGGCCGCGTGGCTTCGACGCTTCCATGCCGATGTACTTGGTGCGAATTCCGATCCAACAATTCGCGTTGGATGTGACAACGCTGGTACGATTGCGTTTGCTCAGAACGAATCTACAAATCGTCGGAACAAGCACATTGATATTATGTATCATTTTGTTCGAGATGCGGTGCAGCGAAAACTGGTCACATTGTACCATTGTCCGACAACAGAAATGCCAGCCGATATGCTGACCAAACCACTTGGTCGCGTGCTGTTTGAAAAGTTCGTGGGCACGGTTGGGCTTTCCAAGTGCAAAGCTGCCCAAAGCATGTGATCGAGGGGAGGTATTGAAAATGTGCGACCACATGCTGATATCTGGAAAGTGCAAAATCGAGCGACACGTGTACACTATTGAAAATGTGCGACCACATGCTGTTATCTGAAAAGGTCAAAATCGAGTGACACGTGTACATGACTGCACGGTCCGGGCGCTCTTTCCTATATCACGACATGACACGTGTAAAATCCCAGATTTTAGGGTTCCGGGACGAAAGTGGCCTCTCGGAGGGTCATGCAAATTTGCATAGTTTTGCCAAGTGGAACCTTGGCCCGTAGCACTATAGACTACACAGGAAATACTGCAATTCTATTGGCCCTCAGCGCACACGTTGCCTTATGAATCTGAATCTCTCGTGAGGTCCTGTCCAATGTCAATTACAACAGTGCACATTTTGCCTTACGAATTCAAAACTCGCGCAACGGTATCTTTGTGTCCTGTTGTACCCGTGCTGCACTCCATGGACGCTGTAAACCTTTGGCACGTGCCAGGCACCCGCCACCAAGGTTCTACACTTTGTCTGTAAGACTGCAGGCGTACTGTACGCGTCCGACAGTGTAATGAGGACATGTGTGCAGATCATACACGTGTCGGGCGAAGAAAATGAAACATGCTCAGATTGTACTGTACACCGCAACCGTGTAGATATTTCACACGTGTACAGGTTGAAAACCAAACTTGCTCCTGAAGTACTGTAGAGTGCAACTGTGTACAGAAATGACATGTGTACACGTTGAAATCAAACTTTCTCAGCTCGTCATGCGGAGTGTTTTTGCTTTTACACGTGTCATACCTGTCGTCGTGTGTCATGCATATCACCATGTGGTCGTAGAATTACAACAGCGAAGACTTGTATTGGTGTAGAGATCGTCCGTATACGTTCTAAACCCGTCCTGACCGTCACGCAGTCGAAGTATGCCCAAGCAGTACTGAAACGGTTCAAAATGTCGGCATGCAATCCTTGCCTTACTCCGATGGAACAGTCTCGACATGTCACAATGCTAGTGGCCGAAACTGGCACTGATGACAACCCATGCTTTGAACCATATCGTCAGGCCATTGGATGTCTAATGTTCCTAATGGTCGGGACCCGCCCCGATATTGCGTTTGCCATTGGAAAGTTATCTCAACACTGTGCCGACCCTCACCAGTCGCACTGGTCAGTTGTGAAACGTGTTTTGAGATACTTGAGTGGGTCCCAGCATCTTGGAATAGTGTTTGGTAAAGATGATCTTGGTACGGAACTTCATGGGTATAGCGACGCAGATTGGGGTGGATGCCTTGAATCACGAAAATCAACGAGTGGGTACGTGTTCAAGCTTTGTGATGGGCCTATCAGTTGGGCTTCCCGGAAACAAACAGTAATTGCAAAGTCTACTTGTGAGGCAGAATACATCGCACTCAGTGAAGCATGCAAAGAGGCCGCGTGGCTTCGACGCTTCCATGCCGATGTACTTGGTGCGAATTCCGATCCAACAATTCGCGTTGGATGTGACAACGCTGGTACGATTGCGTTTGCTCAGAACGAATCTACAAATCGTCGGAACAAGCACATTGATATTACGTATCATTTTGTTCGAGATGCGGTGCAGCGAAAACTGGTCACATTGTACCATTGTCCGACAACAGAAATGCCAGCCGATATGCTGACCAAACCGCTTGGTCGCGTGCTGTTTGAAAAGTTCGTGGGCATGGTTGGGCTTTCCGAGTGCAAAGCTGCCCAAAGCATGTGATCGAGGGGAGGTATTGAAAATGTGCGACCACATGCTGATATCTGGAAAGTGCAAAATCGAGCACCACGTGTACATGACTCGACGGTCCGGACCCTCACCCCATATCACGACATGACACGTGTAAATTCTCAGATTTTGGGGTTCTGGGGACGAAAGTGGACTTTTGGAGGGTTATGCAAATTTGCATAAATGCCGAAAATTTGCATTTGGCCCGAACCGTTATAGGGCTACACAGGCAATACTGCAAATCTATTGGGTGTCGGTTCGAATGCTGCAATTCTATTGGTCTGTTATTGTCCACTTATATGCAGTCATGCGGGTGATATATCTTGAATGATCGGTATACGTTTTAATTACATCATTTCGGGGGTTTCAAGTTGTTCACCATGGTTGTAATGGGTAATTACGGGTCGCCTTGGCGCTGGACACTTGTGTGCGGTGTACACATGTACACATCGCCAGGTTGCTGCGTGTACGTACACTTGTACACGTCTCCTACATACGGTCCGGCGCGTGTCCGAGCACAGTACATGTGAATTAAAAGTACAACAAGTATTTCTCGCAAGAGAGATGTACTTACGTGAGTATTCAGTGTACGCGTCACGCTGTATGCGACCCTTGCATCAGCATGCGCCGTTGTACTACACTCTCGTCAGCATGCGACGTTGCACTGTGCTCTCGTTATGGTGCGCCGTTGGATGCAAGTTGATGACAGTACTCGTGTGATTCACATCGGATATCACGCGAGATGTGTAGAAAGTCTGGATGCACATTGTTGCTATCCGTGATAGTTGTCTGGCAGTGTGTACCGAAATTAGTAAGGTACGAAACAAGGGCATGTATGGGGACTGAGATATGACAGGACTTTGCGTTGTTGGAAATAGAGAGATGCCAAGTTGTTCATTGTGCAAGAATATATTCTGTCATGTCTGGATGCAGATTAGTAAGGTGTGAAACGATTGCATGCATAGGGCCATGGTTTACAGTCACTCGAAATGTGTAGAAACTGTTGTGCACTGATAGTCAATAGTCAATTCGTAAGATGGAAATAGAACAGTGTGGACGGGCCAGAAGAGGACCGCGCTTGGTCGCGCATATGGTGAGTACGGTTTACCAGGTGCCAAAGTAATGGGATAGTGTAACACTCAAAGTGTATAAGTATCGCCGAAAGACGGCTCCAAGTAAACCTCGGCACCAACTCCTTCACTCACACACATCAACCTGCCCTCCTTCTTTGCCTTGCCCCTCCGAACCAACCATTAGGGGGAGCTTAATAAACGGTTTGAGATGAAAGACCTTGGTAAAGCAAAAGTCTGCATTGGTCTTGAAATTGAAAGGGATCGCACCGCCAAGACGTTGAGTCTCACTCAAACTAAGTATGCATCAAAAGTGCTTGAGCGTTTTGGAATGTCAACGTGTAACCCCTCTCTGACTCCACTGGAACAAGGTCACACAACCACGATTTCAACCGAAAACGACTCCGAAACAAATGCACCGTATCGTGAGGCAGTGGGATCCCTGATGTACTTGATGGTTGGCACTCGCCCAGACTTGGCATATGGGATTGGAAAGCTTTCTCAACATTCTGCCAACCCATGTGAGTCACACTGGGCAGGTGTGAAACGGGTAATGCGATACGTGCAAGGGACTCGAAACTTAGGAATCGTGTTTGACAATAAATCTAAATCGCCAGAGTTGTTCGGCTTCAGTGATGCTGACTGGGCCGGTTGTTCAGACTCTCGCAAGTCGACCAGCGGATATGTTTTCAAGTTCTGCGGTGGAGCGATCAGTTGAAGTTCCCGGAAACAGACTGTGGTTGCAACTTCGACGTGTGAAGCTGAGTACATTGCACTATGTGAAGCGTGTAAGGAGGCGACTTGTTTGCGTCAAGTGGTTGCTGATGTTCTTGGACTTGATTCTGATCCCACCATTATGATGGGGTGTGACAATGCAGGGACTATTTCGTATGCAGAGAATGAATCGGTCAACCGTCGTAACAAACATGTTGATATGAAATACCACTATGTACGAGATGCAATTAAGACAAACGTCATTTCTTTGTCGCATTGCCCGACCACTTCCATGCCTGCAGATATCCTGACGAAAGCACTTGGGCGAGTTCTGTTCCAGAAGTTTGTAGAACTTCTAGGGCTTGCAGTAGCTACTTCTGATAAAAGCATGTGATCGAGGGGGAGTGTTGTAATTCTACGACCACATGCTGATATGCATGACACACAACGACAGGTTTGACACGTGTAAAATCGAAAACACTCCGCGTGACGAACTGAGCAAGTTTGATTTTCAACGTGTACACATGTCATTTCTGTACACGGTTGCACTCTACAGTACTTCAGGAGCAAGTTTGGTTTTCAACGTGTACACGTGTGAAATATGGACACTGTGCGGTGTGCAGTACAATCAGAGCATGTCTCATTTTCTTCGCCCGACACGTGTATGACCTGGACACATGTCCTCATTACACTGTCGGACGCGTACAGTACGCCTGCAGTCTTACAGACAAAGTATAGAACCTTGGTGGCGGGTGCCTGGCACGTGCCAAAGGTTTACAGCGTCCATGGAGTGCAGCACGGGTACAGCAGGACACAAAGATACCGTTGCGCGAGTTTTCAATTCGTAAGGAAAAATGTGCACTGTTTTAATGCACAGTGGACAGGACCTCACGAGAGATTCAGATTCATAAGGCAACGTGTGCGCTGTAAACAGTCATTGCAGGATTGATTTGAATTCGTAAGGCAACGTGTGAGCTGTAAACGTGCCTTACGAATTTGTGCCACGCTGGATTTGGAATAGTAAGGGAATTTGTGCTTTGCTGTGCTTTGTTGTACTGCCTTACTAATTTCTCCGTCATGACAGTGGTAATTCGTAAGGCGGTTTTCTGTCATGTTTGTTGGGCCATCGCCAGTTTGGCTGAGTAGCAAGACGGGCACATGTGTTAGAGCCAATACATTTGTAGTATGTGTGTCGTAGCGTTTGGTAGTAGAGTTCGAGAAGATGGCAGAAGTGTATAAGTAGCGCCAGAAGTTGGCGACTCGAAGTAAATCGGTACCCAATCCTTCAACTTGACCTCATCAACCGTCCTTCGATTTCTCTTTGCCCCGCTAACCTTCCAGTAGGTTATGGGCCAGTGCAACGTTATTGTTCCGCTGTGTGAGTGATTGTTCTCAGTTTCTGCTGCCGTTTTCGTGTTTGTTTCTGCTGTCGTTCTCGTTTTGGTGTCCGCTGTCGTTCTCGTTTTGGTTTCTGCTGTCGTTTCCGCCGCCGTTTTCATCGCCGCCGTCGTTCGTTTTATTCTATCGTCGTCTACTTGCTGTCGTTATCATCTTGGTCGTTCGTCTCCGTCTACCTGCTGTCGTTTCAACTTGGTGGATCTTCTTCGTGTCTGTTGCAGCTTGGTCTTGGCAATCGTTGTGTGAGCTGTGGGTATAGTCCCTAGTCGCCAACGTACCATATCAATCCAAGAAGACTGCCCTTCGATCACGCCGGTGATCGTCGTAGCTGCCGATACCCTCGCTCTTGGTGAAAGGCTTGTGCCATTGGAAATCTGACTTGAGCGAGGGTCCGACCAAGAATCGTCGAGAGACGAAACACTGATCCTCGGGGAGGATCACAGTGTACTGGTCTAGTCGATCGGCACTCTGCCTTCGGGAGGTGCGTCGGCGGTGTGAGTAACGCTCTCGGTATTAGCCCTATAGATACGACTTCGGTCCCCTGGGTGAAGAGAATACGTGCCTAAACACTGAACCTCTCACTATACGTGTATAAGGTCGCGTACCTTGATTAAGTTCGCACGGAAGAGGGTGACCCTAGGCGTGATTGTGAACAAATCACACGAGTACGACGAAGGCAGTTTCATTCTCGTGTTGTGGGGAACCTCATTGGGGTAGTACCGTATCAAGTTTGGACAAGCCGATTTCGGTTGCAGGGACCGTTCGCCGTAGTGACCAAAAGTCCTGGTTCGTCTACAGGCAAAGTGTTGTGCTTACTCGTGGCACGTTTGATTTAGTTCACAGTCGAAAGACCTACACTGGCCGACATACAGGGGTAGCGCCCTAAGGCATTTTTAAGAAGAATACGCTTGTTCCACTCCGCCGGGAACAAGCACCAAGAACGTTTCCGAGTAATCGCTACAAACTTCTTATACGGGTGGGCTTGCCATTGTGTTGACTATCGGTTAACGGCTTGGGATCCCGGAACAGAAGACCTTGTATACTCCAAGGGTACATCCATTCGGCGAAATGGATGACCAAAGCTCTGGATCGGTCAGAATCGAGAAGCTGACCGCATCTAACTTTTACATCTGGAAGCAGAAAATCGAGCTACTGCTTGCTCTCCGAGATGTCGATCAATACGTTTTAGATGATATCCCGGAGAATGCGACGTCAGATGACCGGAGAAAATGGATCCGTGGTGACGCAAAAGCAAAGGCAGTCATCGGACTCACGCTTTCTGATGACTACTTGCACCATGTGCGAGAGTGTAGCAGTGCGAAAGAGACATGGGAAGCAATTCTGAATGTGTTTGAGCGTCATACTTTGCTCAACAAACTTGCCGCGCGTCGCGACTTTCACACGGTATCCATGCTCCCATCCGAGAAAGTGCTCGTGTTCATCAATCGTGTGAAGCAACTTGCTGCCAGATTGCAGTCAATGAGTGTTGAGATTGACGATAAAGAAATTGCAATGGCTGTGTTGAATGGCTTGCCTCCACGATTCGATAACCTGATTGTTGCTCTTGACGCACTTGGCAATGAAGATAAAGTGTTTGGACTCGAGTTTGTGAAGAGTCGTCTGCTGCAAGAAGAACAACGAGAAAGCATGAAGACCGCTTCTGCTTCATCACCACATGCACCTGCACTTGTCAATCGTATGCCTATTCGACGCGATATGAAATGTACGAATTGCAACAGACATGGGCATACTGCAGCGCATTGCTGCGGCAAGGACGTGAATGGGCGCCGACCTGCGCCGCCAGATGGGTTTCGGTCACGCAACACTGCCTTGAAGCCAAGTGCATTCGTTTCTTGAAATGACAATTCTACTGCTGCCTTTGCAGAGAGTAACTTTACTTGCTTGCTTTCGACTTCCACTCCAGAAAAGAGGGCTGCAAACGCAAGGTCATGGCTTGTCGATTCCGGTTGCAGCGCTCACATTACGTTTGATCGCTCTTTGTTCGTTACGTATGAACAGATGCAATCTGGATCAGTCGAGATGGGCACGAAGGCTAGAGCTAATGTCGCTGGTCGCGGCGAGGTAGAATTCATGTTGAACGTCAACGGTAGTCCACATCCTTGCAAATTGTCAAACGTTTTGCATGTCCCTGATTTCGGATACTCGCTACTGTCTGTTACCCAAATGGTTTCAAAGGGTTTGCAAGTGTCATTTGAAAATGAGAAATACCGCGTTACTACAGGACCAACTGTAGTTGCCACAGCGAGTCAAGTTGGGGATTTGTACATACTTGACGTCATGAATGAAACCTTTTCTTCTCACGTAGTTACCATGCAGACGCTACATGAACGCATGGCCCATGTTAATGTACAAGGAATCGCATCAATGATTCACAATAATGTGGTAAGTGGCATCAACGTTCGTCAAAGCGATGTCATCAGTGCAATGAATCCGAAGTCTGACAATCACTCTCCCATTTGTCCTGCGTGTGTGTTTGGCAAAGCAACGCGATCAGTAATCCCAAAACAGCGATCATCGTCTCGAGCACAGAACTGTCTTGACTTGGTACATTCTGACGTTTGCGGTCCGCTCGAAGTACAGTCCATTGGTGGTTCGAGATGCTTCATTACATTTGTAGATGATCACTCCAACTGGGTAGTTGTGTACACGATGAGATATAAATCTGAGGCGTTTGCAAAATACAAGTTGTATGAAAAGTTGGCTCAAACTCACACTGGTCGCAAAGTAAAGGTGCTTCGCACTGATCGAGGGGGAGAGTACTTGTCGACGGAATTCAAGTCGCATCTAGATTTAAACGGTACGCAGCACCAACTCACAACGGCGTACATCCCTGAACAAAACGGTGTTGCTGAACGTTTAAATCGAACTTTGATTGATCTCGTCCACTCAATGCTTTCTCATAAACAGGTCAGTAAGCGATTCTGGGCCGAGGCTCTTGCCACTTCGGTATATGTACGTAATCGAGTTACTTCACGCACTTTGCCCGTTAATACAACTCCGCACCACATTTGGATGAATTCCACTCCAAATGTTGGCCATTTGCGAGTATTTGGGTCAAAGTGTTGGTATACATTACCAAAATTAGAGCTCCGTAAGCTGGACTTGCGAGCGCGTGAAGCGATGTTTCTTGGGTACTCGCAATGCAGTAAGGCATACAAACTTTGGGACGGAGAGTTGAATAAAATTGTTGTGTCACGGGATGTCAAGTTTGATGAATCGACATGTGGTATACATGACATTCCTGCACACGAAAGTGATTCCATCAACTCTGATGTTGACGTTGTACTGCTCGATGGCGACAATGGGAATGAAGCCGATACCCCAAATACGAATGAGGTCGGTTCTGAAGAGGATGAAGTTTCGGAGGAGGTTCTTGAAAACGATGGCGCTCATTCTGTAAGTGAGAATGATGAAGATGAAGATGATGTACCAACTGCCGTCGAAAATCCGAATGTCACCCCTCCAACTCCGACTCCAGCTGTGCGAAGATCGTCTCGAGTCAGCAGACCTCCCGGATCATGGTGGAGGAGCAACTTTGCAGCTGCTCTTCTTTCACATGCGCATGTCGCTATTGAAGGTCGCAACACTTTCAAACAGGCAACCAACGGTCCTAGAGCTGCATTTTGGCAGACCGGCATTGACAAAGAACTGGCCTCGCAGACCAAGAATCGGACTTGGAAACTTGTTCCTCCATCTGAGGTGTCAAACATCTTGACATCTCGATGGGTTTTCAATGTCAAGCAACTGCCTGATGCAAATGGCAATATAGTTGAAAGTGCAAAAGCCAGACTTGTTGCTCGTGGATTCCAGCAAGTGCAAGGTCTTGACTATACTGAGACATATGCCCCTGTCATAAAGTTTACCACTATTCGTCTACTTCTTGCTTTAGTTGCTCATTATGATCTCGAACTTCATCAGATGGATGTCGTCACTGCGTTTTTGAACGGCGACTTGGATGAAGACATCTACATGGAGCAACCCGAAGGGTGCATTGACAAAAGCAAAAGTGATCACGTGTGCAAACTTTTGAAAGCACTTTACGATCTTAAACAAGCACATCGTCAATGGCATGCCAAAGTGAATGATTTCTTAATTGGTGAATTGGGATTCGAGACTTCGCGTAGTGATCCTTGTCTCTTTATTAAACGCATCGGTAACACTATCATGCTGATTGCACTTTATGTCGATGACTTGTTACTCGCCGGTAGTGATATCGATGCTATCAAATGGATGAAGGGGGAGCTTAATAAACGGTTTGAGATGAAAGACCTTGGTAAAGCAAAAGTCTGCATTGGTCTTGAAATTGAAAGGGATCGCAGCGCCAAGACGTTGAGTCTCACTCAAACTAAGTATGCATCAAAAGTGCTTGAGCGTTTTGGAATGTCAACGTGTAACCCAACCCCTCTCTGACTCCAATGGAACAAGGTCACACAACCACGATTTCAACCGAAAACGACTCCGAAACAAATGTACCGTATCGCGAGGCAGTGGGATCCCTGATGTACTTGATGGTTGGCACTCGTCCAGACTTGGCATATGCGATTGGAAAGCTTTCTCAACATTCTGCCAACCCATGTGAGTCACACTGGGCAGGTGTGAAACGGGTAATGCGATACGTGCAAGGGACTCGAAACTTAGGAATCGTGTTTGACAATAAATCTAAATCGCCAGAGTTGTTCGGCTTCAGTGATGCTGACTGGGCCGGTTGTTCAGACTCTCGCAAGTCGACCAGCGGATATGTTTTCAAGTTCTGCGGTGGAGCGATCAGTTGGAGTTCCCGGAAACAGACTGTGGTTGCAACTTCGACGTGTGAAGCTGCGTACATTGCACTATGTGAAGCGTGTAAGGAGGCGACTTGGTTGCGTCAAGTGGTTGCTGATGTTCTTGGACTTGATTCTGATCCCACCATTATGATGGGGTGTGACAATGCAGGGACTATTTCGTATGCAGAGAATGAATCGGTCAACCGTCGTAACAAACATGTTGATGTGAAATACCACTATGTACGAGATGCAATTAAGAGAAACGTCATTTCTTTGTCGCATTGCCCGACCACTTCCATGCCTGCAGATATCCTGACGAAAGCACTTGGGCGAGTTCTGTTCCAGAAGTTTGTAGAACTTCTAGGGCTTGCAGTAGCTACTTCTGATAAAAGCATGTGATCGAGGGGGAGTGTTGTAATTCTACGACCACATGCTGATATGCATGACACACAACGACAGGTTTGACACGTGTAAAATCGAAAACACTCCGCGTGACGAACTGAGCAAGTTTGATTTTCAACGTGTACACATGTCATTTCTGTACACGGTTGCACTCTACAGTACTTCAGGAGCAAGTTTGGTTTTCAACGTGTACACGTGTGAAATATGTACACTGTTGCGGTGTACAGTACAATCAGAGCATGTCTCATTTTCTTCGCCCGACACGTGTATGACCTGGACACATGTCCTCATTACACTGTCGGACGCGTACAGTACGCCTGCAGTCTTACAGACAAAGTATAGAACCTTGGTGGCGGGTGCCTGGCACGTGCAAAAGGTTTACAGCGTCCATGGAGTGCAGCACGGGTACAGCAGGACACAAAGATACCGTTGCGCGAGTTTTCAATTCGTAAGGAAAAATGTGCACTGTTTTAATGCACAGTGGACAGGACCTCACGAGAGATTCAGATTCATAAGGCAACGTGTGCGCTGTAAACAGTCATTGCAGGATTGATTTGAATTCGTAAGGCAACGTGTGAGCTGTAAACGTGCCTTACGAATTTGTGCCACGCTGGATTTGGAATAGTAAGGGAATTTGTGCTTTGCTGTGCTTTGTTGTACTGCCTTACTAATTTCTCCGTCATGACAGTGGTAATTCGTAAGGCGGTTTTCTGTCATGTTTGTTGGGCCATCGCCAGTTTGGCTGAGTAGCAAGACGGGCACATGTGTTAGAGCCAATACATTTGTAGTATGTGTGTCGTAGCGTTTGGTAGTAGAGTTCGAGAAGATGGCAGAAGTGTATAAGTAGCGCCAGAAGTTGGCGACTCGAAGTAAATCGGTACCCAATCCTTCAACTTGACCTCATCAACCGTCCTTCGATTTCTCTTTGCCCCGCTAACCTTCCAGTAGGTTATGGGCCAGTGCAACGTTATTGTTCCGCTGTGTGAGTGATTGTTCTCAGTTTCTGCTGCCGTTTTCGTGTTTGTTTCTGCTGTCGTTCTCGTTTTGGTGTCCGCTGTCGTTCTCGTTTTGGTTTCTGCTGTCGTTTCCGCCGCCGTTTTCATCGCCGCCGTCGTTCGTTTTATTCTATCGTCGTCTACTTGCTGTCGTTATCATCTTGGTCGTTCGTCTCCGTCTACCTGCTGTCGTTTCAACTTGGTGGATCTTCTTCGTGTCTGTTGCAGCTTGGTCTTGGCAATCGTTGTGTGAGCTGTGGGTATAGTCCCTAGTCGCCAACGTACCATATCAATCCAAGAAGACTGCCCTTCGATCACGCCGGTGATCGTCGTAGCTACCGATACCCTCGCTCTTGGTGAAAGGCTTGTGCCATTGGAAATCTGACTTGAGCGAGGGTCCGACCAAGAATCGTCGAGAGACGAAACACTGATCCTCGGGGAGGATCACAGTGTACTGGTCTAGTCGATCGGCACTCTGCCTTCGGGAGGTGCGTCGGCGGTGTGAGTAACGCTCTCGGTATTAGCCCTATAGATACGACTTCGGTCCCCTGGGTGAAGAGAATACGTGCCTAAACACTGAACCTCTCACTATACGTGTATAAGGTCGCGTACCTTGATTAAGTTCGCACGGAAGAGGGTGACCCTAGGCGTGATTGTGAACAAATCACACGAGTACGACGAAGGCAGTTTCATTCTCGTGTTGTGGGGAACCTCATTGGGGTAGTACCGTATCAAGTTTGGACAAGCCGATTTCGGTTGCAGGGACCGTTCGCCGTAGTGACCAAAAGTCCTGGTTCGTCTACAGGCAAAGTGTTGTGCTTACTCGTGGCACGTTTGATTTAGTTCACAGTCGAAAGACCCACACTGGCCGACATACAGGGGTAGCGCCCTAAGGCATTTTTAAGAAGAATACGCTTGTTCCACTCCGCCGGGAACAAGCACCAAGAACGTTTCCGAGTAATCGCTACAAACTTCTTATACGGGTGGGCTTGCCATTGTGTTGACTATCGGTTAACGGCTTGGGATCCCGGAACAGAAGACCTTGTATACTCCAAGGGTACATCCATTCGGCGAAATGGATGACCAAAGCTCTGGATCGGTCAGAATCGAGAAGCTGACCGCATCTAACTTTTACATCTGGAAGCAGAAAATCCAGCTACTGCTTGCTCTCCGAGATGTCGATCAATACGTTTTAGATGATATCCCGGAGAATGCGACGTCAGATGACCGGAGAAAATGGATCCGTGGTGACGCAAAAGCAAAGGCAGTCATCGGACTCACGCTTTCTGATGACTACTTGCACCATGTGCGAGAGTGTAGCAGTGCGAAAGAGACATGGGAAGCAATTCTGAATGTGTTTGAGCGTCATACTTTGCTCAACAAACTTGCCGCGCGTCGCGACTTTCACACGGTATCCATGCTCCCATCCGAGAAAGTGCTCGTGTTCATCAATCGTGTGAAGCAACTTGCTGCCAGATTGCAGTCAATGAGTGTTGAGATTGACGATAAAGAAATTGCAATGGCTGTGTTGAATGGCTTGCCTCCACGATTCGATAACCTGATTGTTGCTCTTGACGCACTTGGCAATGAAGATAAAGTGTTTGGACTCGAGTTTGTGAAGAGTCGTCTGCTGCAAGAAGAACAACGAGAAAGCATGAAGACCGCTTCTGCTTCATCACCACATGCACCTGCACTTGTCAATCGTATGCCTATTCGACGCGATATGAAATGTACGAATTGCAACAGACATGGGCATACTGCAGCGCATTGCTGCGGCAAGGACGTGAATGGGCGCCGACCTGCGCCGCCAGATGGGTTTCGGTCACGCAACACTGCCTTGAAGCCAAGTGCATTCGTTTCTCGAAATGACAATTCTACTGCTGCCTTTGCAGAGAGTAACTTTACTTGCTTGCTTTCGACTTCCACTCCAGAAAAGAGGGCTGCAAACGCAAGGTCATGGCTTGTCGATTCCGGTTGCAGCGCTCACATTACGTTTGATCGCTCTTTGTTCGTTACGTATGAACAGATGCAATCTGGATCAGTCGAGATGGGCACGAAGGCTAGAGCTAATGTCGCTGGTCGCGGCGAGGTAGAACTCATGTTGAACGTCAACGGTAGTCCACATCCTTGCAAATTGTCAAACGTTTTGCATGTCCCTGATTTCGGATACTCGCTACTGTCTGTTACCCAAATGGTTTCAAAGGGTTTGCAAGTGTCATTTGAAAATGAGAAATACCGCGTTACTACAGGACCAACTGTAGTTGTCACAGCGAGTCAAGTTGGGGATTTGTACATACTTGACGTCATGAATGAAACCTTTTCTTCTCACGTAGTTACCCTGCAGACGCTACATGAACGCATGGCCCATGTTAATGTACAAGGAATCGCATCAATGATTCACAATAATGTGGTAAGTGGCATCAACGTTCGTCAAAGCGATGTCATCAGTGCAATGAATCCGAAGTCTGACAATCACTCTCCCATTTGTCCTGCGTGTGTGTTTGGCAAAGCAACGCGATCAGTAATCCCAAAACAGCGATCATCGTCTCGAGCACAGAACTGTCTTGACTTGGTACATTCTGACGTTTGCGGTCCGCTCGAAGTACAGTCCATTGGTGGTTCGAGATACTTCATTACATTTGTAGATGATCACTCCAACTGGGTAGTTGTGTACACGATGAGATATAAATCTGAGGCGTTTGCAAAATACAAGTTGTATGAAAAGTTGGCTCAAACCCACACTGGTCGCAAAGTAAAGGTGCTTCGCACTGATCGAGGGGGAGAGTACTTGTCGACGGAATTCAAGTCGCATCTAGATTTAAACGGTACGCAGCACCAACTCACAACGGCGTACATCCCTGAACAAAACGGTGTTGCTGAACGTTTAAATCGAACTTTGATTGATCTCGTCCACTCAATGCTTTCTCATAAACAGGTCAGTAAGCGATTCTGGGCCGAGGCTCTTGCCACTTCGGTATATGTACGTAATCGAGTTACTTCACGCACTTTGCCCGTTAATGCAACTCCGCACCACATTTGGATGAATTCCACTCCAAATGTTGGCCATTTGCGAGTATTTGGGTCAAAGTGTTGGTATACATTACCAAAATTAGAGCTCCGTAAGCTGGACTTGCGAGCGCGTGAAGCGATGTTTCTTGGGTACTCGCAATGCAGTAAGGCATACAAACTTTGGGACGGAGAGTTGAATAAAATTGTTGTGTCACGGGATGTCAAGTTTGATGAATCGACATGTGGTATACATGACATTCCTGCACACGAAAGTGATTCCATCAACTCTGATGTTGACGTTGTACTGCTCGATGGCGACAATGGGAATGAAGCCGATACCCCAAATACGAATGAGGTCGGTTCTGAAGAGGATGAAGTTTCGGAGGAGGTTCTTGAAAACGATGGCGCTCATTCTGTAAGTGAGAATGATGAAGATGAAGATGATGTACCAACTGCCGTCGAAAATCCGAATGTCACCCCTCCAACTCCGACTCCAGCTGTGCGAAGATCGTCTCGAGTCAGCAGACCTCCCGGATCATGGTGGAGGAGCAACTTTGCAGCTGCTCTTCTTTCACATGCGCATGTCGCTATTGAAGGTCGCAACACTTTCAAACAGGCAACCAACGGTCCTAGAGCTGCATTTTGGCAGACCGGCATTGACAAAGAACTGGCCTCGCAGACCAAGAATCGGACTTGGAAACTTGTTCCTCCATCTGAGGTGTCAAACATCTTGACATCTCGATGGGTTTTCAATGTCAAGCAACTGCCTGATGCAAATGGCAATATAGTTGAAAGTGCAAAAGCCAGACTTGTTGCTCGTGGATTCCAGCAAGTGCAAGGTCTTGACTATACTGAGACATATGCCCCTGTCATAAAGTTTACCACTATTCGTCTACTTCTTGCTTTAGTTGCTCATTATGATCTCGAACTTCATCAGATGGATGTCGTCACTGCGTTTTTGAACGGCGACTTGGATGAAGACATCTACATGGAGCAACCCGAAGGGTGCATTGACAAAAGCAAAAGTGATCACGTGTGCAAACTTTTGAAAGCACTTTACGATCTTAAACAAGCACATCGTCAATGGCATGCCAAAGTGAATGATTTCTTAATTGGTGAATTGGGATTCGAGACTTCGCGTAGTGATCCTTGTCTCTTCATTAAACGCATCGGTAACACTATCATGCTGATTGCACTTTATGTCGATGACTTGTTACTCGCCGGTAGTGATATCGATGCTATCAAATGGATGAAGGGGGAGCTTAATAAACGGTTTGAGATGAAAGACCTTGGTAAAGCAAAAGTCTGCATTGGTCTTGAAATTGAAAGGGATCGCAGCGCCAAGACGTTGAGTCTCACTCAAACTAAGTATGCATCAAAAGTGCTTGAGCGTTTTGGAATGTCAACGTGTAACCCAACCCCTCTCTGACTCCAATGGAACAAGGTCACACAACCACGATTTCAACCGAAAACGACTCCGAAACAAATGTACCGTATCGCGAGGCAGTGGGATCCCTGATGTACTTGATGGTTGGCACTCGTCCAGACTTGGCATATGCGATTGGAAAGCTTTCTCAACATTCTGCCAACCCATGTGAGTCACACTGGGCAGGTGTGAAACGGGTAATGCGATACGTGCAAGGGACTCGAAACTTAGGAATCGTGTTTGACAATAAATCTAAATCGCCAGAGTTGTTCGGCTTCAGTGATGCTGACTGGGCCGGTTGTTCAGACTCTCGCAAGTCGACCAGCGGATATGTTTTCAAGTTCTGCGGTGGAGCGATCAGTTGGAGTTCCCGGAAACAGACTGTGGTTGCAACTTCGACGTGTGAAGCTGAGTACATTGCACTATGTGAAGCGTGTAAGGAGGCGACTTGGTTGCGTCAAGTGGTTGCTGATGTTCTTGGACTTGATTCTGATCCCACCATTATGATGGGGTGTGACAATGCAGGGACTATTTCGTATGCAGAGAATGAATCGGTCAACCGTCGTAACAAACATGTTGATGTGAAATACCACTATGTACGAGATGCAATTAAGAGAAACGTCATTTCTTTGTCGCATTGCCCGACCACTTCCATGCCTGCAGATATCCTGACGAAAGCACTTGGGCGAGTTCTGTTCCAGAAGTTTGTAGAACTTCTAGGGCTTGCAGTAGCTACTTCTGATAAAAGCATGTGATCGAGGGGGAGTGTTGTAATTCTACGACCACATGCTGATATGCATGACACACAACGACAGGTTTGACACGTGTAAAATCGAAAACACTCCGCGTGACGAACTGAGCAAGTTTGATTTTCAACGTGTACACATGTCATTTCTGTACACGGTTGCACTCTACAGTACTTCAGGAGCAAGTTTGGTTTTCAACGTGTACACGTGTGAAATATGTACACTGTTGCGGTGTACAGTACAATCAGAGCATGTCTCATTTTCTTCGCCCGACACGTGTATGACCTGGACACATGTCCTCATTACACTGTCGGACGCGTACAGTACGCCTGCAGTCTTACAGACAAAGTATAGAACCTTGGTGGCGGGTGCCTGGCACGTGCCAAAGGTTTACAGCGTCCATGGAGTGCAGCACGGGTACAGCAGGACACAAAGATACCGTTGCGCGAGTTTTCAATTCGTAAGGAAAAATGTGCACTGTTTTAATGCACAGTGGACAGGACCTCACGAGAGATTCAGATTCATAAGGCAACGTGTGCGCTGTAAACAGTCATTGCAGGATTGATTTGAATTCGTAAGGCAACGTGTGAGCTGTAAACGTGCCTTACGAATTTGTGCCACGCTGGATTTGGAATAGTAAGGGAATTTGTGCTTTGCTGTGCTTTGTTGTACTGCCTTACTAATTTCTCCGTCATGACAGTGGTAATTCGTAAGGCGGTTTTCTGTCATGTTTGTTGGGCCATCGCCAGTTTGGCTGAGTAGCAAGACGGGCACATGTGTTAGAGCCAATACATTTGTAGTATGTGTGTCGTAGCGTTTGGTAGTAGAGTTCGAGAAGATGGCAGAAGTGTATAAGTAGCGCCAGAAGTTGGCGACTCGAAGTAAATCGGTACCCAATCCTTCAACTTGACCTCATCAACCGTCCTTCGATTTCTCTTTGCCCCGCTAACCTTCCAGTAGGTTATGGGCCAGTGCAACGTTATTGTTCCGCTGTGTGAGTGATTGTTCTCAGTTTCTGCTGCCGTTTTCGTGTTTGTTTCTGCTGTCGTTCTCGTTTTGGTGTCCGCTGTCGTTCTCGTTTTGGTTTCTGCTGTCGTTTCCGCCGCCGTTTTCATCGCCGCCGTCGTTCGTTTTATTCTATCGTCGTCTACTTGCTGTCGTTATCATCTTGGTCGTTCGTCTCCGTCTACCTGCTGTCGTTTCAACTTGGTGGATCTTCTTCGTGTCTGTTGCAGCTTGGTCTTGGCAATCGTTGTGTGAGCTGTGGGTATAGTCCCTAGTCGCCAACGTACCATATCAATCCAAGAAGACTGCCCTTCGATCACGCCGGTGATCGTCGTAGCTACCGATACCCTCGCTCTTGGTGAAAGGCTTGTGCCATTGGAAATCTGACTTGAGCGAGGGTCCGACCAAGAATCGTCGAGAGACGAAACACTGATCCTCGGGGAGGATCACAGTGTACTGGTCTAGTCGATCGGCACTCTGCCTTCGGGAGGTGCGTCGGCGGTGTGAGTAACGCTCTCGGTATTAGCCCTATAGATACGACTTCGGTCCCCTGGGTGAAGAGAATACGTGCCTAAACACTGAACCTCTCACTATACGTGTATAAGGTCGCGTACCTTGATTAAGTTCGCACGGAAGAGGGTGACCCTAGGCGTGATTGTGAACAAATCACACGAGTACGACGAAGGCAGTTTCATTCTCGTGTTGTGGGGAACCTCATTGGGGTAGTACCGTATCAAGTTTGGACAAGCCGATTTCGGTTGCAGGGACCGTTCGCCGTAGTGACCAAAAGTCCAGGTTCGTCTACAGGCAAAGTGTTGTGCTTACTCGTGGCACGTTTGATTTAGTTCACAGTCGAAAGACCTACACTGGCCGACATACAGGGGTAGCGCCCTAAGGCATTTTTAAGAAGAATACGCTTGTTCCACTCCGCCGGGAACAAGCACCAAGAACGTTTCCGAGTAATCGCTACAAACTTCTTATACGGGTGGGCTTGCCATTGTGTTGACTATCGGTTAACGGCTTGGGATCCCGGAACAGAAGACCTTGTATACTCCAAGGGTACATCCATTCGGCGAAATGGATGACCAAAGCTCTGGATCGGTCAGAATCGAGAAGCTGACCGCATCTAACTTTTACATCTGGAAGCAGAAAATCGAGCTACTGCTTGCTCTCCGAGATGTCGATCAATACGTTTTAGATGATATCCCGGAGAATGCGACGTCAGATGACCGGAGAAAATGGATCCGTGGTGACGCAAAAGCAAAGGCAGTCATCGGACTCACGCTTTCTGATGACTACTTGCACCATGTGCGAGAGTGTAGCAGTGCGAAAGAGACATGGGAAGCAATTCTGAATGTGTTTGAGCGTCATACTTTGCTCAACAAACTTGCCGCGCGTCGCGACTTTCACACGGTATCCATGCTCCCATCCGAGAAAGTGCTCGTGTTCATCAATCGTGTGAAGCAACTTGCTGCCAGATTGCAGTCAATGAGTGTTGAGATTGACGATAAAGAAATTGCAATGGCTGTGTTGAATGGCTTGCCTCCACGATTCGATAACCTGATTGTTGCTCTTGACGCACTTGGCAATGAAGATAAAGTGTTTGGACTCGAGTTTGTGAAGAGTCGTCTGCTGCAAGAAGAACAACGAGAAAGCATGAAGACCGCTTCTGCTTCATCACCACATGCACCTGCACTTGTCAATCGTATGCCTATTCGACGCGATATGAAATGTACGAATTGCAACAGACATGGGCATACTGCAGCGCATTGCTGGGGCAAGGACGTGAATGGGCGCCGACCTGCGCCGCCAGATGGGTTTCGGTCACGCAACACTGCCTTGAAGCCAAGTGCATTCGTTTCTCGAAATGACAATTCTACTGCTGCCTTTGCAGAGAGTAACTTTACTTGCTTGCTTTCGACTTCCACTCCAGAAAACAGGGCTGCAAACGCAAGGTCATGGCTTGTCGATTCCGGTTGCAGCGCTCACATTACGTTTGATCGCTCTTTGTTCGTTACGTATGAACAGATGCAATCTGGATCAGTCGAGATGGGCACGAAGGCTAGAGCTAATGTCGCTGGTCGCGGCGAGGTAGAACTCATGTTGAACGTCAACGGTAGTCCACATCCTTGCAAATTGTCAAACGTTTTGCATGTCCCTGATTTCGGATACTCGCTACTGTCTGTTACCCAAATGGTTTCAAAGGGTTTGCAAGTGTCATTTGAAAATGAGAAATACCGCGTTACTACAGGACCAACTGTAGTTGCCACAGCGAGTCAAGTTGGGGATTTGTACATACTTGACGTCATGAATGAAACCTTTTCTTCTCACGTAGTTACCATGCAGACGCTACATGAACGCATGGCCCATGTTAATGTACAAGGAATCGCATCAATGATTCACAATAATGTGGTAAGTGGCATCAACGTTCGTCAAAGCGATGTCATCAGTGCAATGAATCCGAAGTCTGACAATCACTCTCCCATTTGTCCTGCGTGTGTGTTTGGCAAAGCAACGCGATCAGTAATCCCAAAACAGCGATCATCGTCTCGAGCACAGAACTGTCTTGACTTGGTACATTCTGACGTTTGCGGTCCGCTCGAAGTACAGTCCATTGGTGGTTCGAGATGCTTCATTACATTTGTAGATGATCACTCCAACTGGGTAGTTGTGTACACGATGAGATATAAATCTGAGGCGTTTGCAAAATACAAGTTGTATGAAAAGTTGGCTCAAACCCACACTGGTCGCAAAGTAAAGGTGCTTCGCACTGATCGAGGGGGAGAGTACTTGTCGACGGAATTCAAGTCGCATCTAGATTTAAACGGTACGCAGCACCAACTCACAACGGCGTACACCCCTGAACAAAACGGTGTTGCTGAACGTTTAAATCGAACTTTGATTGATCTCGTCCACTCAATGCTTTCTCATAAACAGGTCAGTAAGCGATTCTGGGCCGAGGCTCTTGCCACTTCGGTATATGTACGTAATCGAGTTACTTCACGCACTTTGCCCGTTAATGCAACTCCGCACCACATTTGGATGAATTCCACTCCAAATGTTGGCCATTTGCGAGTATTTGGGTCAAAGTGTTGGTATACATTACCAAAATTAGAGCTCCGTAAGCTGGACTTGCGAGCGCGTGAAGCGATGTTTCTTGGGTACTCGCAATGCAGTAAGGCATACAAACTTTGGGACGGAGAGTTGAATAAAATTGTTGTGTCACGGGATGTCAAGTTTGATGAATCGACATGTGGTATACATGACATTCCTGCACACGAAAGTGATTCCATCAACTCTGATGTTGACGTTGTACTGCTCGATGGCGACAATGGGAATGAAGCCGATACCCCAAATACGAATGAGGTCGGTTCTGAAGAGGATGAAGTTTCGGAGGAGGTTCTTGAAAACGATGGCGCTCATTCTGTAAGTGAGAATGATGAAGATGAAGATGATGTACCAACTGCCGTCGAAAATCCGAATGTCACCCCTCCAACTCCGATTCCAGCTGTGCGAAGATCGTCTCGAGTCAGCAGACCTCCCGGATCATGGTGGAGGAGCAACTTTGCAGCTGCTCTTCTTTCACATGCGCATGTCGCTATTGAAGGTCGCAACACTTTCAAACAGGCAACCAACGGTCCTAGAGCTGCATTTTGGCAGACCGGCATTGACAAAGAACTTGCCTCGCAGACCAAGAATCGGACTTGGAAACTTGTTCCTCCATCTGAGGTGTCAAACATCTTGACATCTCGATGGGTTTTCAATGTCAAGCAACTGCCTGATGCAAATGGCAATATAGTTGAAAGTGCAAAAGCCAGACTTGTTGCTCGTGGATTCCAGCAAGTGCAAGGTCTTGACTATACTGAGACATATGCCCCTGTCATAAAGTTTACCACTATTCGTCTACTTCTTGCTTTAGTTGCTCATTATGATCTCGAACTTCATCAGATGGATGTCGTCACTGCGTTTTTGAACGGCGACTTGGATGAAGACATCTACATGGAGCAACCCGAAGGGTGCATTGACAAAAGCAAAAGTGATCACGTGTGCAAACTTTTGAAAGCACTTTACGATCTTAAACAAGCACATCGTCAATGGCATGCCAAAGTGAATGATTTCTTAATTGGTGAATTGGGATTCGAGACTTCGCGTAGTGATCCTTGTCTCTTCATTAAACGCATCGGTAACACTATCATGCTGATTGCACTTTATGTCGATGACTTGTTACTCGCCGGTAGTGATATCGATGCTATCAAATGGATGAAGGGGGAGCTTAATAAACGGTTTGAGATGAAAGACCTTGGTAAAGCAAAAGTCTGCATTGGTCTTGAAATTGAAAGGGATCGCAGCGCCAAGACGTTGAGTCTCACTCAAACTAAGTATGCATCAAAAGTGCTTGAGCGTTTTGGAATGTCAACGTGTAACCCAACCCCTCTCTGACTCCAATGGAACAAGGTCACACAACCACGATTTCAACCGAAAACGACTCCGAAACAAATGTACCGTATCGCGAGGCAGTGGGATCCCTGATGTACTTGATGGTTGGCACTCGTCCAGACTTGGCATATGCGATTGGAAAGCTTTCTCAACATTCTGCCAACCCATGTGAGTCACACTGGGCAGGTGTGAAACGGGTAATGCGATACGTGCAAGGGACTCGAAACTTAGGAATCGTGTTTGACAATAAATCTAAATCGCCAGAGTTGTTCGGCTTCAGTGATGCTGACTGGGCCGGTTGTTCAGACTCTCGCAAGTCGACCAGCGGATATGTTTTCAAGTTCTGCGGTGGAGCGATCAGTTGGAGTTCCCGGAAACAGACTGTGGTTGCAACTTCGACGTGTGAAGCTGAGTACATTGCACTATGTGAAGCGTGTAAGGAGGCGACTTGGTTGCGTCAAGTGGTTGCTGATGTTCTTGGACTTGATTCTGATCCCACCATTATGATGGGGTGTGACAATGCAGGGACTATTTCGTATGCAGAGAATGAATCGGTCAACCGTCGTAACAAACATGTTGATGTGAAATACCACTATGTACGAGATGCAATTAAGAGAAACGTCATTTCTTTGTCGCATTGCCCGACCACTTCCATGCCTGCAGATATCCTGACGAAAGCACTTGGGCGAGTTCTGTTCCAGAAGTTTGTAGAACTTCTAGGGCTTGCAGTAGCTACTTCTGATAAAAGCATGTGATCGAGGGGGAGTGTTGTAATTCTACGACCACATGCTGATATGCATGACACACAACGACAGGTTTGACACGTGTAAAATCGAAAACACTCCGCGTGACGAACTGAGCAAGTTTGATTTTCAACGTGTACACATGTCATTTCTGTACACGGTTGCACTCTACAGTACTTCAGGAGCAAGTTTGGTTTTCAACGTGTACACGTGTGAAATATGTACACTGTTGCGGTGTACAGTACAATCAGAGCATGTCTCATTTTCTTCGCCCGACACGTGTATGACCTGGACACATGTCCTCATTACACTGTCGGACGCGTACAGTACGCCTGCAGTCTTACAGACAAAGTATAGAACCTTGGTGGCGGGTGCCTGGCACGTGCCAAAGGTTTACAGCGTCCATGGAGTGCAGCACGGGTACGGCAGGACACAAAGATACCGTTGCGCGAGTTTTCAATTCGTAAGGAAAAATGTGCACTGTTTTAATGCACAGTGGACAGGACCTCACGAGAGATTCAGATTCATAAGGCAACGTGTGCGCTGTAAACAGTCATTGCAGGATTGATTTGAATTCGTAAGGCAACGTGTGAGCTGTAAACGTGCCTTACGAATTTGTGCCACGCTGGATTTGGAATAGTAAGGGAATTTGTGCTTTGCTGTGCTTTGTTGTACTGCCTTACTAATTTCTCCGTCATGACAGTGGTAATTCGTAAGGCGGTTTTCTGTCATGTTTGTTGGGCCATCGCCAGTTTGGCTGAGTAGCAAGACGGGCACATGTGTTAGAGCCAATACATTTGTAGTATGTGTGTCGTAGCGTTTGGTAGTAGAGTTCGAGAAGATGGCAGAAGTGTATAAGTAGCGCCAGAAGTTGGCGACTCGAAGTAAATCGGTACCCAATCCTTCAACTTGACCTCATCAACCGTCCTTCGATTTCTCTTTGCCCCGCTAACCTTCCAGTAGGTTATGGGCCAGTGCAACGTTATTGTTCCGCTGTGTGAGTGATTGTTCTCAGTTTCTGCTGCCGTTTTCGTGTTTGTTTCTGCTGTCGTTCTCGTTTTGGTGTCCGCTGTCGTTCTCGTTTTGGTTTCTGCTGTCGTTTCCGCCGCCGTTTTCATCGCCGCCGTCGTTCGTTTTATTCTATCGTCGTCTACTTGCTGTCGTTATCATCTTGGTCGTTCGTCTCCGTCTACCTGCTGTCGTTTCAACTTGGTGGATCTTCTTCGTGTCTGTTGCAGCTTGGTCTTGGCAATCGTTGTGTGAGCTGTGGGTATAGTCCCTAGTCGCCAACGTACCATATCAATCCAAGAAGACTGCCCTTCGATCACGCCGGTGATCGTCGTAGCTACCGATACCCTCGCTCTTGGTGAAAGGCTTGTGCCATTGGAAATCTGACTTGAGCGAGGGTCCGACCAAGAATCGTCGAGAGACGAAACACTGATCCTCGGGGAGGATCACAGTGTACTGGTCTAGTCGATCGGCACTCTGCCTTCGGGAGGTGCGTCGGCGGTGTGAGTAACGCTCTCGGTATTAGCCCTATAGATACGACTTCGGTCCCCTGGGTGAAGAGAATACGTGCCTAAACACTGAACCTCTCACTATACGTGTATAAGGTCGCGTACCTTGATTAAGTTCGCACGGAAGAGGGTGACCCTAGGCGTGATTGTGAACAAATCACACGAGTACGACGAAGGCAGTTTCATTCTCGTGTTGTGGGGAACCTCATTGGGGTAGTACCGTATCAAGTTTGGACAAGCCGATTTCGGTTGCAGGGACCGTTCGCCGTAGTGACCAAAAGTCCTGGTTCGTCTACAGGCAAAGTGTTGTGCTTACTCGTGGCACGTTTGATTTAGTTCACAGTCGAAAGACCTACACTGGCCGACATACAGGGGTAGCGCCCTAAGGCATTTTTAAGAAGAATACGCTTGTTCCACTCCGCCGGGAACAAGCACCAAGAACGTTTCCGAGTAATCGCTACAAACTTCTTATACGGGTGGGCTTGCCATTGTGTTGACTATCGGTTAACGGCTTGGGATCCCGGAACAGAAGACCTTGTATACTCCAAGGGTACATCCATTCGGCGAAATGGATGACCAAAGCTCTGGATCGGTCAGAATCGAGAAGCTGACCGCATCTAACTTTTACATCTGGAAGCAGAAAATCCAGCTACTGCTTGCTCTCCGAGATGTCGATCAATACGTTTTAGATGATATCCCGGAGAATGCGACGTCAGATGACCGGAGAAAATGGATCCGTGGTGACGCAAAAGCAAAGGCAGTCATCGGACTCACGCTTTCTGATGACTACTTGCACCATGTGCGAGAGTGTAGCAGTGCGAAAGAGACATGGGAAGCAATTCTGAATGTGTTTGAGCGTCATACTTTGCTCAACAAACTTGCCGCGCGTCGCGACTTTCACACGGTATCCATGCTCCCATCCGAGAAAGTGCTCGTGTTCATCAATCGTGTGAAGCAACTTGCTGCCAGATTGCAGTCAATGAGTGTTGAGATTGACGATAAAGAAATTGCAATGGCTGTGTTGAATGGCTTGCCTCCACGATTCGATAACCTGATTGTTGCTCTTGACGCACTTGGCAATGAAGATAAAGTGTTTGGACTCGAGTTTGTGAAGAGTCGTCTGCTGCAAGAAGAACAACGAGAAAGCATGAAGACCGCTTCTGCTTCATCACCACATGCACCTGCACTTGTCAATCGTATGCCTATTCGACGCGATATGAAATGTACGAATTGCAACAGACATGGGCATACTGCAGCGCATTGCTGGGGCAAGGACGTGAATGGGCGCCGACCTGCGCCGCCAGATGGGTTTCGGTCACGCAACACTGCCTTGAAGCCAAGTGCATTCGTTTCTCGAAATGACAATTCTACTGCTGCCTTTGCAGAGAGTAACTTTACTTGCTTGCTTTCGACTTCCACTCCAGAAAAGAGGGCTGCAAACGCAAGGTCATGGCTTGTCGATTCCGGTTGCAGCGCTCACATTACGTTTGATCGCTCTTTGTTCGTTACGTATGAACAGATGCAATCTGGATCAGTCGAGATGGGCACGAAGGCTAGAGCTAATGTCGCTGGTCGCGGCGAGGTAGAATTCATGTTGAACGTCAACGGTAGTCCACATCCTTGCAAATTGTCAAACGTTTTGCATGTCCCTGATTTCGGATACTCGCTACTGTCTGTTACCCAAATGGTTTCAAAGGGTTTGCAAGTGTCATTTGAAAATGAGAAATACCGCGTTACTACAGGACCAACTGTAGTTGCCACAGCGAGTCAAGTTGGGGATTTGTACATACTTGACGTCATGAATGAAACCTTTTCTTCTCACGTAGTTACCATGCAGACGCTACATGAACGCATGGCCCATGTTAATGTACAAGGAATCGCATCAATGATTCACAATAATGTGGTAAGTGGCATCAACGTTCGTCAAAGCGATGTCATCAGTGCAATGAATCCGAAGTCTGACAATCACTCTCCCATTTGTCCTGCGTGTGTGTTTGGCAAAGCAACGCGATCAGTAATCCCAAAACAGCGATCATCGTCTCGAGCACAGAACTGTCTTGACTTGGTACATTCTGACGTTTGCGGTCCGCTCGAAGTACAGTCCATTGGTGGTTCGAGATACTTCATTACATTTGTAGATGATCACTCCAACTGGGTAGTTGTGTACACGATGAGATATAAATCTGAGGCGTTCGCAAAATACAAGTTGTATGAAAAGTTGGCTCAAACCCACACTGGTCGCAAAGTAAAGGTGCTTCGCACTGATCGAGGGGGAGAGTACTTGTCGACGGAATTCAAGTCGCATCTAGATTTAAACGGTACGCAGCACCAACTCACAACGGCGTACACCCCTGAACAAAACGGTGTTGCTGAACGTTTAAATCGAACTTTGATTGATCTCGTCCACTCAATGCTTTCTCATAAACAGGTCAGTAAGCGATTCTGGGCCGAGGCTCTTGCCACTTCGGTATATGTACGTAATCGAGTTACTTCACGCACTTTGCCCGTTAATGCAACTCCGCACCACATTTGGATGAATTCCACTCCAAATGTTGGCCATTTGCGAGTATTTGGGTCAAAGTGTTGGTATACATTACCAAAATTAGAGCTCCGTAAGCTGGACTTGCGAGCGCGTGAAGCGATGTTTCTTGGGTACTCGCAATGCAGTAAGGCATACAAACTTTGGGACGGAGAGTTGAATAAAATTGTTGTGTCACGGGATGTCAAGTTTGATGAATCGACATGTGGTATACATGACATTCCTGCACACGAAAGTGATTCCATCAACTCTGATGTTGACGTTGTACTGCTCGATGGCGACAATGGGAATGAAGCCGATACCCCAAATACGAATGAGGTCGGTTCTGAAGAGGATGAAGTTTCGGAGGAGGTTCTTGAAAACGATGGCGCTCATTCTGTAAGTGAGAATGATGAAGATGAAGATGATGTACCAACTGCCGTCGAAAATCCGAATGTCACCCCTCCAACTCCGATTCCAGCTGTGCGAAGATCGTCTCGAGTCAGCAGACCTCCCGGATCATGGTGGAGGAGCAACTTTGCAGCTGCTCTTCTTTCACATGCGCATGTCGCTATTGAAGGTCGCAACACTTTCAAACAGGCAACCAACGGTCCTAGAGCTGCATTTTGGCAGACCGGCATTGACAAAGAACTTGCCTCGCAGACCAAGAATCGGACTTGGAAACTTGTTCCTCCATCTGAGGTGTCAAACATCTTGACATCTCGATGGGTTTTCAATGTCAAGCAACTGCCTGATGCAAATGGCAATATAGTTGAAAGTGCAAAAGCCAGACTTGTTGCTCGTGGATTCCAGCAAGTGCAAGGTCTTGACTATACTGAGACATATGCCCCTGTCATAAAGTTTACCACTATTCGTCTACTTCTTGCTTTAGTTGCTCATTATGATCTCGAACTTCATCAGATGGATGTCGTCACTGCGTTTTTGAACGGCGACTTGGATGAAGACATCTACATGGAGCAACCCGAAGGGTGCATTGACAAAAGCAAAAGTGATCACGTGTGCAAACTTTTGAAAGCACTTTACGATCTTAAACAAGCACATCGTCAATGGCATGCCAAAGTGAATGATTTCTTAATTGGTGAATTGGGATTCGAGACTTCGCGTAGTGATCCTTGTCTCTTCATTAAACGCATCGGTAACACTATCATGCTGATTGCACTTTATGTCGATGACTTGTTACTCGCCGGTAGTGATATCGATGCTATCAAATGGATGAAGGGGGAGCTTAATAAACGGTTTGAGATGAAAGACCTTGGTAAAGCAAAAGTCTGCATTGGTCTTGAAATTGAAAGGGATCGCAGCGCCAAGACTTTGAGTCTCACTCAAACTAAGTATGCATCAAATGTGCTTGACCGTTTTAAAATGTCGACTTGTAACCCTTCTCTGACTCCAATGGAACAAGGTCACACAACCACGATTTCTACCGAAAACGACTCCGAAACAAACGCACCGTATCGTGAGGCAGTGGGATCCCTGATGTACTTGATGGTTGGCACTCGTCCAGACTTGGCATATGCGATTGGAAAGCTTTCTCAACATTCTGCCAACCCATGTGAGTCACACTGGGCAAGTGTGAAACGGGTAATGCGATACGTGCAAGGGACTCGAAACTTAGGAATCGTGTTTGACAATAAATCCAAATCGCCGGAGTTGCTTGGTTTCAGTGATGCTGACTGGGCCGGTTGTTCAGACTCTCGCAAGTCGACCAGCGGATATGTTTTCAAGTTCTGCGGTGGAGCGATCAGTTGGAGTTCCCGGAAACAGACTGTGGTTGCAACTTCGACGTGTGAAGCTGAGTACATTGCACTATGTGAAGCGTGTAAGGAGGCGACTTGGTTGCGTCAAGTGGTTGCTGATGTTCTTGGACTTGATTCTGATCCCACCATTATGATGGGGTGTGACAATGCAGGGACTATTTCGTATGCAGAGAATGAATCGGTCAACCGTCGTAACAAACATGTTGATGTGAAATACCACTATGTACGAGATGCAATTAAGAGAAACGTCATTTCTTTGTCGCATTGCCCGACCACTTCCATGCCTGCAGATATCCTGACGAAAGCACTTGGGCGAGTTCTGTTCCAGAAGTTTGTAGAACTTCTAGGGCTTGCAGTAGCTACTTCTGATAAAAGCATGTGATCGAGGGGGAGTGTTGTAATTCTACGACCACATGCTGATATGCATGACACACAACGACAGGTTTGACACGTGTAAAATCGAAAACACTCCGCGTGACGAACTGAGCAAGTTTGATTTTCAACGTGTACACATGTCATTTCTGTACACGGTTGCACTCTACAGTACTTCAGGAGCAAGTTTGGTTTTCAACGTGTACACGTGTGAAATACGTACACTGTTGCGGTGTACAGTACAATCAGAGCATGTCTCATTTTCTTCGCCCGACACGTGTATGACCTGGACACATGTCCTCATTACACTGTCGGACGCGTACAGTACGCCTGCAGTCTTACAGACAAAGTATAGAACCTTGGTGGCGGGTGCCTGGCACGTGCCAAAGGTTTACAGCGTCCATGGAGTGCAGCACGGGTACAGCAGGACACAAAGATACCGTTGCGCGAGTTTTCAATTCGTAAGGAAAAATGTGCACTGTTTTAATGCACAGTGGACAGGACCTCACGAGAGATTCAGATTCATAAGGCAACGTGTGCGCTGTAAACAGTCATTGCAGGATTGATTTGAATTCGTAAGGCAACGTGTGAGCTGTAAACGTGC